ATAGTTAGTATATACCCTTGATGTGATATGATGAGAATTGTACTTTAACTCTATGGTCTTTTTCCCCAAAACACTTTTCCCCAGTATAATCATGAGAAAAATATTACATAAATACTGAGTGAGGGACATCTACCTGTACTCCTCAAAAATGTCGAGTTCATCAAAAATAAGGAAAATCTGAGAAACTAACATTTAAGAGGAACCTAAGACATGACAACTAAATGTAATGTGGTGCTCTGAATGGTATCCTGGAATTTGATACTTTTTAAAATGTATCTAAATAGTATTAAGGTAAGGCAGTTGGTTTATGATTATGAAAGTTCTGGAAAGAAGAAGCTATGATATTAAAGATAAATTATAAATATTGTAGAATACTACCTCTTCTCTGAATTTATTTGAATGTTCTTCATTACCCTGGAAACAATAAAATGCTAATAAAAATAAAGCTGATTTAATTCATGTCATAACATGGAATGACATTATCAATAAGTGTAAATGACAGATTGAATATGCTATTATAAATCCAAAGTTTTAAAGAAAATTTACTTAAAGCACACAATAAAAAAACTTTTTATCAGAAATATTGAATTAGAAACAGTATATAGCAATAAAAAGTAATTTAAGTTTCTCAACTTTTGAAGTGTTTATTAAGTTTATTTGTCTTTAAGTGAAAATGTAGTGTCAGTAATTAGATATGATAAGTCTTGTAAAGTCATTTTGACATTCTTTCTAGAAATTGAGAAAAAGTATGATTCTAATTACTGAATAAAAAATCCTTTCAAACATCAGATGGCTTTCAATTCTTTGCATTCAGTAAAATGACATGAAAGGAGAATCTAATAGCGTTGTCGTACAATGGATTATTAATATTTTTGGTGATTTTCATGATTTTTGGAAAACAAAATTCTTATTTATAGAGATACATTTTTGACACAACACAATAAAAAAGTAAAAAAGGGTAGAATTGATGCTGAATTTTATATCATTTTATTAACATGCAATCGTTACCTGGACTCAAGAACTAATTGTAAAAAGATGTGCATCTATCTCGTTAAAAAAGACATTTCCTGTAGAAATTTACCTTAAAAACTTATTTACTTAAAGACTTTTGAGACATTTTAAAATTAAGATTTAAGATATAGTTCTTATATACAACAACATGGATGGACCTAGAGGTTATTATGCATACTGAAACAAGTCAGAGAGAGAAAGATAAATACCATATGATTCATTTATATGCATGATCTAAGGAACAGAAAGAACAAAGTAATCAAAAACAGACCCACAAATATAGAGGACAAGCTGGTGCCAGCCAGAGGGAGGAAGGTTGGGGGACTGGGAGAAAGGAGTGAAGGGTTAAAGAAGTACAAATTCGTAGTTGGTAGATGGACTCTGGATTGGGGAGCACAGCATAGGGAATGCAGTCAGCAGTAATGTAATGGCTACGTAGAGAGCCAGAGGAGAGAAAGAACAATTAGGGGGATTGTTTAATAACCTATATAAATGACCAATGTACTGTATACTTGAGACTAATAATAAAATAAAATTAGAAAAGATATATTCATGATTTTATTTCAGAGAAGCATAATAGGGTGATAAATACAAGAGCTTCAGCATAAAATATGAATATAGTTTTGTGATAAAATTCTGCAGAAAAAATGATATAATAATATTAAATTTTATTTAAAATAGAAAAATAATCATGACTTTTCAACTATAAAATTCTTTATGCATTTATTATGAATAATAGTGAATATCAAATCACTGCTGTATTTGAATTCCATTGGAAACATTTTTTTAAATGTTATAAAAACTTTATTTTAAAATGTCAATATTTTCTGGACGCTGTAAATTATATCCTCTACTATTATTTAAGCCTGTAATACAAAAAAGTTTAGAATGAACTTTGCTAGTCTATGTTACCTGGCTATTCAATCAAACATGAATTTAAATGTGTGAGATGGTACATAATTTTTCAAAATTATTTTGGAGACACTATAAGCTAAACTTTTAAGACTGCTAGACAACTGGAATGATGCCCTAGAGTTATAAGTTTGAACTGATCACTTAATTCCCACTACTGTTAAGTACAGTTTTCCATCTCATTCAGGAACATCTTTCATGAAAGGTATTTTAGAGTGCCTAATAGAGCAGAGAACTAGGATATGTGGCTATATTTTTGCCTCCTTGCTAATAGCTATTGGCATATAAGGTAGAATGTTTTGTGGTACTGTTTCACACTACTCGATGAAAGAGTTATGGGAGAAGAATCATATAACCTTGTATACTTCTAACTTATTGGAAGCTCACAACACTTATACAATAACTGTGAGTGATCAAATGACTTGGTCCAAAACTTTCATGAAAGCATAGAATAGCAATAAAGTTCAGTATGCGTACTCTATTCATCAGAGAAACAGAACCAATGAGATAAGTATACATATGTACATGTATGTATGTATTTATATACACACACATGTATATGTTTACACATGTGAAAACATTGAATTACTGTTTTCAGGAAACAGGAAGCAAATGTAGCCTAGAATTTTAGAATGTGGAAGAAACAAAAACTAATTACTTAATTTTACAGATGAGAAAACTAAACTCTTGTTTACTTGGTTTCCTAAAGTTTAAGAATCACATTAAAGAACAATCCAAGATACTGTTCCCATGGGAATCTTTTTACTCTTTCATTTTTATCGATAATGAGAAAGATTCGCAATAGGTACCTGCTCTAAAGTGCTAGTACATGCTTTGAATGCTATAATGAAAAGATTTTTTAAGCTACACTTTGGCTTCTAGGGAAACAGTCCTTGATTGATTAATGAGGTGCGTGGATGAGGGAGTAATCACATTATTGCCAGATATTTGCTATCACTCTCTACATCATGTGCTTTGGTTAGAGAAAAATAAAAAGATTATTCTAAGTGGTTTGTTTGACAATTATACTGATGACTTTTGAAAAGGAGAAATAATGATAAATTCATTGTTTTAGGAAAATTAATTTGGTGACAGTTTTCTGAATGATTTCAAAGGATATCAAGTACTTTTGAAACTGGAATTCTAGTAAGAGTGCTACTCTGTGCGGTAAAGAAAACATCAACTGATGAGAAAGTGAACCAGGGTACTGGCATCTGAATCAGAGAAATAAAAATGAATAAGAGGCAACAATCTGTAAGAAACATAAAGGAAAATCTAAATTCTACTTTTTCTCTACTCTATCTCCAGTGCCTAGAAAAATATCTGCGGCATGGTTAAAGCTCACTCAAATTTTTTGAATGAAGTCCAGTTATAGATCCTTATTTTCGGAAAGGAAAACTAAGGAAAGTGGAAATTATTTCATCCTGCTAGAGAAGGCATTTAATGCAGCCAATAAAGACTAGTTCAGAGATATTTAATTTTTTTCAAAAATGACTATAGTATCAGAAGTCCATACTACATTAACTAATTAAGAAAGGTAATGAAGCAGATGGATACATGAATGGCTTTACTTCCTTGTTGGCAAGAATTTTCTAGAAAGCTAAATCTAGTTCACAATACCCCTTGGTACTCAAGGTTAACTACTATTAAACATGTTTTTAAAGAACGTACGCACAAGTTTCATTCCTTGAAATAATTTATAACACAAATGATAATAAGTGTATCAGAGCAACTATCTCCAGGATCATAGTATAGCACTCCTAGGAGGCACTGGATCCTGGGTTGGGGAAGAGAAAAGTTGCAAACTGGAGGAGCTAGTCCAGCTATAGAGGCTGACAGCAGAGATTCACCTGTGACAGCAAAATATTATAACCCATATTATCTTAGCAATGTCAGTTATGGTTTAGCGGAACTGTAATGGGTCAGAACTCCTCTTCAGAATGAGTAAGGGCCCAAGGCAGTCAAACCAAACTTGAGTTTGGGAACCTGGGCTTGGCATTGAATTTGACATATGCAGATATGATTTATGCAGGCAAAAGATCTTGCTGTACAAGGAGATAGAAAAACTACCCTAAAGTAAAATTGCAGTTGAGAAACTCATGTTCCAAAGAAGCATGTATCGAACAGCCCAGGTTGAGAGGCATAGTGTGAGATACTAGTTAAAAGGGACATAGGTCTGGAGGGCAGAGTGGAGATTCAGCTTAGAGAGTCTCCCTTAGGTACCAGGTTGGGACATTTTAGCAGCAGCTATGATCTTATTTGGGAGTACTGAAGGTGCTATTAAGAGATCAAAATCTTTTCTGACAGAAGATGAAATAGCTGAAGTTCCCAAATGGGGACCAGGACACGGCAGTAGGTGATTCTCAGCAGTTCAGAAGAGGCTATTGCAGTCTGGGAAGGACTCAACAGGAATCAAGTTCCAGCCCTCACTTCAGGCCTTCAAAATAGAGCTCCAGTTCCTAAGGAAGAGCCCGAAGGAGACTAATGTAGATCATTCGCCCTTGGAAACTCAGAAATTAGATATGCAACAATTAGAAATCTGGATACTCAGATTAGTGATATAAACATTTCCAAATTCCGAACCACATGATTTGGGACATGAACGGTGTTATCAAAATAGAGATACTGCAAGAAGATAAGCCATGACTCAAGGAACAACTTGAAATCCAGAAGGCAGCAATGGAACAGTATGTCCTGGGTCAAGTTTTCAGCAAAAGGAAATTGTGGCAGAACTAGGAAATACAGTCAGAGTGCAAACAGCATTTCTAGGTCATGTTGATAGGGAGGGGAACTTTATTATAAGCCAAAATATATAGAGATTGGGTAGGGAAAATACTGTCTTGTTAGTACTAGTATAGGAAAAGGCAGGGATAGCCTATGAAAAGATAACAATTAGCCCTAACTTTAGGGAATTTGGAAGCTCAGAGTCAGGAGCAAAACTGGAAACTGATTAATGACGCTGAAAAAAATCAAAGTTTTAAAAGCGCATTTTCTCCTTTATAAAGCCAAGTCAAGTTATAACTGCTCTTGTTTCAGCAGATTACAGGTCAGTTCTTTCAGATTTGTAGCGCAGGCTCTTTAAATTTCTGTGCGGAACTGAAGTGCACTGCCAGACATTTCCTTCTTATAAATGGCATCAAATTTCTCATTTTGTGCCACTGTGAAGTAATTCTTCCAGTCACCTGTAGTCCCTAAAAATAACAAATATGAAAACATATGAAGAAATAAAATATTTCCATTATGAAGGGAAAGCTAGTATATACCAAAAGAAAAAGTTAGAAACGGTAAAGAAAGAATTTCCTTGTATTTGAATACTTTAAAATGTCATTTCTCTTTGACTGGTAATGCCACCCATCTAGAAAGTTGCCTTATAACTAAACAGAATCTGACATTTAAAGAGACATTCTGAGAAGGTTTAATTTTGTTGCCTAAATTTATAGGCTGTACAATAGTTTCTTAAAAGAGATTCTTTTAGTGTTTCTAATTATCCTGGGTCATGGGGTTACCACTGGACCCTGGAAGTGGTTGGGGCATATTTTATTTCATGAGTTACTTTTGGAAACTGTACAAAGGACTGGTCATGAGCACAAGCAAACCATGAAATAGAAAGCTGATAAGTATCATTTTCCCAGAATGCATAATTGAGGATGATATGATACTTGTAGGATACTTGTTATTTCTGAATTCACTAGACTTATACTATATTTACATTTTAGATAAGAATAGCATCAAACATACAACATTTCTGAATAATCTTTACAAAATAAAAACTTTTCCAATATAAATTTATTTAATCTCATACTTGAATGCTTGCTTATAAATTAAATTTCAATAAACTGCCAATGTGCCTGAAGGGAAAGAATAACTTTTGCTGTATTGTGAGATATTAAATATATCTTATTGAATTGCGAGTTATATTAACCCGTGATGATTTGATAAAGATTTCAAATCCTATTAAAACAAAAATTCCTTAAACAAGTTTGTTTCCCTGGTTTTTATACTTTGTTCTGTGTTTACCAGATGGAAGTAGTGTATATTTAGGATAGTACATCTGTAAAGATGCCATTAAAAACAGCCCAGATTTAAACAATAAAGAGTCATATATAAATTATTACAATAACCTATTTGAGTATAAATCATATAGCACATGCAAACACATTTACTTCACAACAGTAAGAAATGTATAAAAACTTTTTTGATAAAATAAATTCTGATCAAAGTCCAGATTTTTCTGTTTTGTGGCAAGTTGAGGTGTGTAAACATTGGACATCATCTATCCTCACTCTACCTTCAATATTGTGTGACTAAATTGACATTGGTTTATCCAGCATGGCATCCTTCAAGACTGAGTGCCTCTAGTCCTGAACCTTTTGTCATATTTCACATCGGGCCCTTTTTAGTTTCAATTTACAGCATGACTCTTGCATTAAATTATGAGTTTCTTGAGGCAGATTCATGTGTCATTAAACCTTGCACATTCCAGATCTAGAGAATACGTGCTGAATATAGGTGTTCATGAAGAATTTTCTTATATGTAAATTAACAAGTGAGTATTCTTTAAATATTTATTGAATACATACACGAATAAATGGATAGATGAATCATGAACTATTTAAACTAAGACTTTTGCCAGTGAATTCCACCAAACATTCAAAGAAGATTTAATACCTCAAATATTCTCCTCAAACTCTTACAAAAAATCAAAGAGGAGGCAATACTTCCCAACTCATTTTATGAGATCAATATTACCTTGATACCAAAACCTGGTAAAGATAACACAAAAAATGAAAACTATAGACCAATATCTCTCATGAACACAGATGCAAAATTTCTAATTAAGATACTAGTGAACCGAATACAGTAACATATTAAAAAGATTATACACCACGGTCACGTGGGCTTCATCCCAGAGTCACAGGGATGGTTCAACATACACAAATAGATTAAGAAGATATACTACATAAACAAATTAAAAAATAAGAATCATATGATTATATCAATAGGTGCAGAAAAAGCCTTCGACAAAATACAGCATCCATTTATGATCAAAATAATAAAATCGGTATAGAAGAAAAATGCCTTAATAAAATAAAGGCCATATATAAAAAACCCTCAGTCAACATTATACTTAATGGTGAAAAACTAAAAACCTTCTAAGATCAACAAGAAGACAAGTCTGTTATTCCACTATTGCCACTGTTATTCAATATAACACTAGAGGTCTTAGCGAGTGCAATCAGTCAAGAGAAAGATATAAAAGGCATCCAAATAGGAAACAAAGAAGTCAAACTGTCACTATTTGTCACTATTTGTGGATGACAGGATTCTCTATATAGAAAACCCTAATGACTCTACAAGAACACTACTAGAAACAATAAGCAAATACAGTAAAGTTTCTG